AAAAAAAAAAAAAAAATCTGTGGCACACAGCAAAACATGTTAAAGCTTGCTCACAAATCTATGGGTCAGCTGGATGGTTCTGCTAATCTGGGCTGAGCTGAGAGATCCCAGGAGGGTGTGATCAGAGAGTGTGGTCCACTGACAGATCAACTAGGAGCTAGCTCTTCTGGGCTGGCCTCAGCTGCACTTGTCTGTCATCCTGAAGCAGGCTAGCTGGGGTTTATTTGTTTCCAAGAGAGACAGCAGAAGAGTGCAAGCCCTCCTGAAGATGCAGGTTCAGAATTAACACAATGTTACTTCCCCCCATTCAATTGGCCAAAATAAGTCATGAGGGTAGTCTAGATTCAAGAAACGAAGATGTAGACTCTACCTTTTGGTTGAAGGAGCTGGATACAAGGTGAGGTGCAGCCATTTTGCAATCAATCTAGCACAGCCCTCATTTGCTATTTTTTCCTTTATTCACTAGATACCACCTGCCTTATCTTAGCTTTGTAAATCATTTAACTCCTCTAATGAAAAATTTTGTCAGTTCCAAAATCTAGTGCAATCATGGGTAAAGCCTGTTAATACAAACACATAATCAAAACATCATTTTCTATAAGTACATACAATTGCTTTCCAGTTAGTTGTTAACTAAAATTGTTAAAAAGGAACTTCACTACAGCCTTATTTGCCAGTTATGAGAGTCAAGCCAAATCACAACTTCCCTCCTTTTTTTTTTTTTTTTTTTTTTTTGCTGTAGTCTTTCGCCCTGTCACCCAGGTTAGAGTGCAGTGGCATGATCTCAGTTCACTGCAACCTCCACCTCCTGGGTTCAAGCAATTCTCCTTTCGCAGTATCCTGAGTAGCTGGGACTACAGGTGCGTGCCACCACGCCTGGCTAATTTTTCTGTTTTTAGTAGAGACAGAGTTTCACCATCTTGGTCAGGCTGCTCTTGAATTCCTTACCTCAGGTGATCCACCCACCTTGGCCTCCCACAGTGCTGGGATTACAAGCGTGAGCCACTGCATCTGACCAACTTTTCTCCTTAAAGATATGCGTCATTCATTCAACAAATATTTAGTGATCATCTATGTGCCAGCTATACCCTAGAAGTTGGGGATATATTATAGTGAATGAAACAGTATATATCTCTGCTGTGATAGAGCTTACATTTTAGAGGGAAGAAATATACAAGCAAGTAAGCAATTAATAAAGAAAATCATTCCAGGTACTGACGGAAAAAACACATTGGTATGATAAAGAACGATTGGATTGGAGAAGCTACTTTCGAGTAGATTTGGTTGGCAGGGAAGGTCTCTCATAACCAAGACCTGAATGGCAAGAAGGAGCCAGCCATGGAAGGATCTGGAGAGAGAGTGACTCAGGTTGAGAACAAAAGCCAAGGCCCCCTGCCATTCAGGAATTTGGTATGTCTAGGCACAAAAGAGCTATGAAGAGAAGTTCTGCAACCAAACATACCAAAATCAGGATATGCAACTTCTAGAGTTCCCATCTGGAAGTAGTAAGAGAATGTACCAAAACACGGGCATTTCTGGTCCCCAACTTTCCTCTCACACCCTCCAACTTCATTTGGAGAGAATAATTCACATTTTAATTCTTGATGGACATTCCCAAATGGTATAGTTTGTTTGTTAATAATGACTTTATTGAGATATAATTCATAGACCGTAAAATTCAC